CCATTGTCCGCCATTACTAACACAAACAAATCTCCAGTCGGGCCACAATGCATTATGGGATATGGTGGGCCTGGAAGGATCCATCAGACCAGTCCTTCGATTCGGGCCAAAGGAAGGACGCATTCGTCGGCCGCATCGGAGTCTTTGGTTTTGGACGGCCTTCGTCGTGGCGCTGTGACACATGCGGCCGACGAATTCGGCCTTCGGAGGACCCAGCACACCGTTTTGGACACAGCCTACACTCACCGGCCACTTTATTAGGTACACCTGTCCAACTGCTCGTTAACACTTAATTTCTAATCAGCCAATCACATGGCGGCAGCTCAGTGCATTTAAGCATGTAGACCTGGTCAAGACAATCTGCTGCAGTTCAAACCGAGCATCAGTATGGGGAAGAAAGGTGATTTGAGTGCCTTTGAACGTGGCATGGTTGTTGGTGCCAGAAGGGCTGGTCTGAGTGAAACTGCTGATCTAATGGGATTTTCACGCTCAACCATCTCTAGGGTTTACAGAGAATGGTCCGAAAAAGAAAAAAACATCCAGTGAGCGGCAGTCCTCTGGGCGGAAATGCCTTGTTGATGCCAGAGGAGAATGGGCAGACTGGTTCGAGCTGATAGAAAGGCAACAGTGACTCAAATAACCACCCGTTACAACCAAGGTAGGCAGAAGAGCATCTCTGAACGCACAACATGTCGAACTTTGAGGCAGATGGGATTCAGCAGCAGAAGACCACACCGGGTGCCACTCCTTTCAGCTAAGAACAGGAAACTGAGGCTACAATTTGCACAAGCTCATCGAAATTGGACAAGAGAAGATTGGAAAAACGTTGCTTGGTCTGATGAGTCTTGATTTCTGCTGCGACATTCGGATGGTAGGGTCAGAATTTGGCGTCAACAACATGAAAGCATGGATCCATCCTGCCTTGTATCAACGGTTCAGGCTGGTGGTGGTGGTGTCATGGTGTGGGGAATCTTTTCTTGGCGCTCTTTGGGCCCCTTGGTACCAGTTGAGCATCGTTGCAACGCCACAGCCTACCTGAGTATTGTTGCTGACCATGTCCATCCCTTTATGACCACAATGTACCCAACATCTGATGGCTACTTTCAGCAGGATAATGCGCCATGTCATAAAGCTGGAATCATCTCAGACTGGTTTCTTGAACATGACAATGAGTTCACTGTACTCAAATGGCCTCCACAGTCACCAGATCTCAATCCAATAGAGCATCTTTGGGATGTGGTGGAACGGGAGATTCGCATCATGGATATGCAGCTGACAAATCTGCAGCAACAGTGTGATGCCATCATGTCAATATGGACCAAAATCTCTGAGGAATGCTTCCAGCACCTTGTTGAATCTATGCCAYGAAGAAYTGAGGCAGTTCTGAAGGCAAAAGGGGGTCCAACCCGTTACTAGCGTGGTGTACCTAATAAAGTGGCCGGTGAGTGTATATTGCCTTATATGTATTAGCTCGGTGCTAGCTCGACAAACAAGCTAAACTGAGGTCCTCCATCCATATTTTCAGTTACAGGCTGAGTCATTTTTGTGTTTCTGTGCGTAAAAACGGCAGCATCCATGTAATACATTTCAAAACTTTTGTTTAAAACTGACAAAAACTAAACAGCCTACATTATTTTTACAGTCTTTATTTTACAGTTAAAATATATATTTATCAAATAAAATCTAATGTTAAAATATATTTTTAAAAATGTACAAAACTAAACATCCTACAGTATTTTTACAGTCTTTATTTTACAGTTAAAATATATATTTATCAAATAAAATCTAATGTTACAACTAATCATCGATCCCTTTAAAGCTCTCACACCCACACAATAAAGAAAAAAGTTGCTGAAGGGGAGAAAAAGAGAACTAATCTGACTCCAACAGGTCCTGACATTTGAGATGTTTAGTTTATTTACCTGAGATAATATAATACTTCTACAAATATTTACCTGCAGGCAAAGATAAAGACTTTAGTTCAACAATTCAGCAAAACCAGCAAGTGTGAATCATGTAAAAAAGTAACATTTCTTCACTGGGTTTCACCATGTGAACAGACAAAATAACTTTAATAAAATAGTGTGTTTTGTTGCTGCCAGTGAGTCATCTGGTTTAGCTCTTGTTCGCCTTCTGTACGTCAGCAGCTCAGACATAAAAACAAAGAGTAAAACAGTTACTTCCATCAGTACATGCTGTAAAGTCTGCATGACGCACAAAAGATGGCAGACTTTGACCACGCGTGTCACCCTGCTCGGGGTCAGACAGGGAAACAAAACAAAGTTACAAACAATGAGGAAAAACTTCATGTTTGAAGCGTTAATCTGTCAACAGAAAACGTTATCTTACATCAGACTGAAGATCTGGTATCTGTCAGTGAGGCAAAGATGCTGCTTGTAAAGATAACGTAAGAAAAAAGCACACAGCTTTGTTAAAATGTGTTTCAATTTGTTGCAAAGGTTTTAGAACAAAATGACTAAAATTACAAATTGAGAATAAATCACCAGACTCCAAACTCTGCAGTCACTTCTGATTGTTTTGAGAAAAAAAAAATGAAAATTTCTTCAACAGATTTAATAATATATTATACATTGTTGTTGTTGTTTACTATACAAAATTCATATCTCCATAAACTTTTAAATGTATTCTTGGCTTATTTTTTTGTAGTTAGCCATTCCTAATAATTTAAACCAACAATTGTTTTCTTTTGTTTGGTTTAGATCTTTTTTTTAACGAAAGGTTATGAACAAATAATGTCTTACCTGTCATAGCGTTTAAGAAAGCTAAATTTTGAAGAAAAACAGTTTAATTCTGAGCAAATTAACAATTGTGGAGCATAAAACCAAGGTATATTGTTACTATCTTATAACACAAAAGTTTTACATTCTTGGGAATGTTTTATAAATTCTGTAGTTTTTTGCAAATGCAAATAGCAGCAGCAGTTGGCTGTAGCACTTTTAATGCAGCTCTTTCTATTGGAACTGAATGTAAAGGTTTATTTAAATGCATGGGAATGAACTAAAACAACTTTTTTTAGTGTGGAGTTGTTTTAAAAGGGCAGTCTCCTTTGTCTTGGTCCGACTAGCCGTTAGCTCGTCAATTTGATCAGAATTAAACTCAGTGAGGTAAAACACAGGCAGCGTAGGATGTGGGTCTGAAACTGTGCCACCATTATTGTTGATATTAAATTGTTATTGGTCTGAAAAATAGTACATTTTTATGTGTGCTCACTACTTACTGGAGCATGTGAGTTTATGTAGAAGAGCTGCTATTCTTTTTCTTTTTTGCTTTTATTGACAGTCCTTGTTTTATTGTCGAACCGTTTCATTTCAAAAGTTTAGAAATGGAGGAGTAATACAATTTTCTGGGTTGTACATATACGTACACACACACATACATATATATACATTTA